TTGACATTGTTTTTTTAATAACTTTTTAATAAACAACGAGCGCCGGCTAAATCCTTCTGAGGGTTACTCAGGAGGGTGACCTCTATAATATATGTCAAGCCCAAGGTTATTGGAGGTGGGTGTGTTAATCTAAATAATTACCTCTATTTCTATAAAAAAAACGTGCCCACACTCACTTTCATCACCTCAAAATCGCATTCCCTCCACATATCCTATACAACATTATGGAACATCATCTTTCCTCTTTTAACAATCATTTATTTAAACTTTCACAAAAACATAGCAAAAAGATAGATAACTTGTTAACTGCAAAACAAGCACTCTTCCTAAAAAACATTAAACCAATTTCTCTTCCTTCCTCCACCTCTCTTCACAACAACACAAACGTTATTAACAAAAACATCGTTATTTCTCCAACGGAATATTCAGTCCATCCGATTAATCCACTAGAAAACACTAATAATAAATGGTTTATAAATTTGACAGGCACTTCTATTCCTAACAAGGTATCAAATTTACTACAATTAGGTGGAAATTTTAGCCTTCCTAACGTTTTCAACAAAAAGAACTCTATTCATGAGTTTATAAAAGACTTAGAAAGTGATACTAGAAGACAGCTATTAAACAACAGAATCACGTTGAGAAATACGATTCTACCTCAATTTCACAACCTTATAAACAATAATCAACTGCAAAAAACCGAAAAAAATTTTAAAAATATGCTAGACTCCACGATAGAATTTCAAAGAGAAAACCCGGATATCCTTTTCACCAGAGCAGACAAGGGAAATATCACTGTAGCGATAGATAAGAGCCTGTATTTTAAAAAAATGACAGATATACTTGACGACAGGGAAACGTATGAAGTGGTAAACAAAGACCCATCCGGTATACTAGAGAAAAAACTTAATAATTTACTAAAAAATTGGGCGAATAACAAATACATCTCTGAACTACAACACTTCCAATTAAAATCCAGCGACACCTCATTACCCAAAGCCTACGGACTTCCTAAGATCCATAAAGAAAACTATCCACTGCGGATTATCATCTCTTCCATCAATTCTCCACTTCATGAATTCGCCTCCTTTATAAACTCTATCATCTCGAAGAGCATTCCACCCGCAATCGGTCATATAAATAACAGTTTTGATCTATATAGAGCATTGGCCGAGAAGACTCTTTTAGATTCTGAAGTTTTTATTTCCCTAGATGTAGTCTCTCTTTTCACCAATGTTCCTCTTGATCTTGCCCTTGAAAGTATAACTAAAAGATGGAATCTAATTGAGAAAAATACAAAGATTCCAAAACACGAATTTATAACGGCCATCAAACTCTTATTACACTCCACATACTTCACATTCAACGGTATTACTTATAAACAAACATTTGGTACACCCATGGGATCCCCTATCTCTCCCTTGATTGCTGACCTTGTAATGCAGGACCTCGAAGAATTCGTACTTAGAGATATCCATACCTCCTTTTATGTTCGTTACGTAGATGACATCCTGTTATTAGTACACTCTGATTCCATTAACGACATTCTTGAAAAGTTTAACTCATATCATCAAAGACTACAATTTACGTTAGAAATTGAAAATGAACGCACAATTTCCTTTTTAGATCTAAAAATTTTAATTCAAGACAATAACTTGCTTATAGATTGGTACCACAAAAAGACGTTCTCAGGTAGATATCTCTCTTATTTCTCAAACCACCCGATGTGCCATAAGATTGGCACTATTTACGGACTAGTAGATCGAGCTCTAAAGTTATCTCATATTTCCTTCCATGAGAAAAACATAAAACACTGCATCGATATTCTTATGGACAACGGTTACCCACTACAACTCATATTCAACACAATTAAAAAGAGGATAAGATCCATAAATCTTAACAGTCTTAATTGTGATACAAATCAGGAAAAAGAAAGTAAGAAGTACTTAGTTTTCCCATATATTGATCGCTTGAAAAATACCGTTGGCTCTTTTTTTAAAAAAACTTCTCTCTCAGTGGGATATAGACTCCTAAACAAATTGTCTCGTTTTATTAGACCACTAAAAGAAAA